GGGGGGGGGGGGGGACCAGCTACAGCCCCTGTTCTCAAGAAGTGCTTACAACTTCTAAAAAATATTTTTTATTTTTCAATTACAATAAACTAAACTTATATTAGTTTCAGGTGTACAACCCTATGATTAGACATTTACACAACTTATGAAGCTATCACCCTGATAAATCTAGTACCCATCTGACACAATACATAGTTATTACAATAGTATTAACTGTAGTCCCTATGTTGTACTTGACATCCCCATGACTATTCTGTAACTACTAATTTGTACTTCTAAATCCCTTCACCTTTTTCACCCAACCCTCTGGCAGCCATCAAAATGTTCTCTGTATCTACGAGTCTGTTTCTGTTCTGCTTATTTATTTATTTATTTATTTATTTTTTAAGCTTCCACATACAAGTGAAGTCATCTGGCATTTGTCTCCTCTGTCTGACTTATTTCACTCAGTGTAATACCCTCCGCGTCCATCCATGCTGTTGCAGATGGCAAGGTTTCGTTCTGTCTTGTGGCCAAATCATATTCCATTGTCTATATGCACCACTCCAAGAAGTGCTTACAACTTTTAACACAGTTCTTAATGGGAGGAAACCAAGAAGAGGAAGAACAGTCATTTGTTTTGTTGTTGTTGTTTTTGATCTCTCAGCTTGTGAAAGAATCTATAGTCTTTGACAGAATAAAAATACCAAGAAAATAAACAAGGGGAAATCCATCAGCGTAGGATGTAGGACTAGTGGGCTTCTAGCTCATTCTTGTAAATGTTCAGTAAATGTTAGTTCCTTTCCAACTCACCCACATATTCCCTGCTCATTCATCTCTCTGCATCATGCAAACGTATAACCTTGAGAACCATATCCTCATGCCTCATCCATGAATTTATTTTTAAAGTACGTTTCAATTCTCTTCAAAGTATAAATAGATTTTCACATACCAGTTCCTGCCAACAGAGAGTAAGTCGTTTCTTATCTAAAGTGGTTTGGTTCAACATCTTGGGCTTTTTTTCTGCTTCAGAGATAAAGGCACTGGAAGAGAAGGACAATTTTGAAACCTGCTCAGTGACAATCCATTTATATAATTCCAGAGATCTGCAAATATACTTCCTGTAGTACAATGACAAAGTTAGTGAAGCTACAAAACCAAGATCTTTCATTTAGGATTAAGCAATGACGCACTAACTTTTCTAAGGGACAAAATGAGAATCTTTACTTATCTGGGAAAAATGATGCCCAGACCTCACATGGGGAGCAGATGTTTGTTTTCCAGTTTCTTTCAGTCATATTTATTGCAACTGCTGCCCAAGTTCCTAACAACAACCACAAAATAAAACAGTTTTCCTTCATCTTACAAATATAACACTCACAAAAAGGTTCCTGAAAATTTGTCTGTAAAACAAATATCTTAGACTCAATACTGGGATGTGTCTTCACATGTGAAAAACTGTACAAAGGACTGAGTAGTAACATTTCGAGGGATGAAATTAAAAATGTGTTCAATAGGAAAATGGTAAAGGTTATGAATGCAATTGAAGAAGAAATATACACGGTTTTAATTGGAGAAATGGGATATTGTCCTAATCAGCATTAACTTAAATGCAATACCATTTTTATCTATTAAAACTTCAATAGTAGTCAAGGTTGATGAATGTGGGATGCTCTCACTTCCCTCCATTATTTTAGGAGCAGGTAAATTGTTATGATTTTTTTTGGTTTTTTTGTTTTTTGGGTTTTTTAAAATTTTTTTTATATATCTTTATTGACTTCAGAGAGAGGGCAGCAGAAGGAGAGAGAGATAGAAACACCAATGATGAGAGAGTCATTGGGGATCGAGCCTGCAACCCGGGCATGTGCCCTGACTGGGAATCGAACCCCGGTTTCCTGGATCCGAGGTCAATGCTCAACTACTGAGCCACGCCCGGCTGGGCGTGTTATGATGTTTTTTAAAATTTACCTTTATTGCTGAAAGTATTGGATATGGAAACCATGAAAAACAACCAGCCAGAAATGAAGGATGACACAGCAGAAATAAAGAATACGCTGTTACAGTGTATAGGAGGCGATCTGACAGCACTCGTCAACATTTAAACGTCTATATAATTTAATGCAAAAATTACACTAGAATTCTATCCTTCAAAAATAACTGAAAATTTTTATAAGAATACATTTCCACAGTAATCCTTGCTATGGCATTGTTAACGGGAGCAAATAAATGGGAACAGCTTCAATAACAGGGCCTGCAGCTGACACGAATCATGGACAGGTCCATGAGGGTGACTGTCAGGTCCTACTATAGAAAGATGCCAGTGACGTGTTGCTGAGTGAGAAGGCAGCCTGCTGAACAAAGTGTGTGCTATCGCCTGTGAAGAAAGATAGTATTTTTATGGATGTGTGTGTTTGCAAATGCACAGGAGAAAATCCAGAAGGACAAATCAAACTCCTCTCTGGAGAGTGGGATTAGAGAAAGAGTTGAGAAAGCTTTTACTTTATACATCCCTGCATTTTTCTTCTTTGTAAGATGAGCAGGGAGTGCTTCTATGATGAAAAAAAAAAGAAATAAAAGGGTGAATCTAAGGTCCCGCACCCCCCAGTGCTCTGCCCGTTGCGATTGGAGGCCTAGTCAGAAATTCTCTTTGCACGTACTCGTCAAGTTACATTTTCTCTTAATTTTTAAAAAGAATTAAAAGCATGATATTTTGAGGAGACAGTCTGTTTTCACACATCTACCTTTCCTAGAGGCACAAAGAATTTCATTTCCCTCCCCTCCCAGGATGCAGCAGCCCAGGAAGACATGGGGCATACTCTGACTTCTCACCTCTCTTCTTCTTCCCTGGGGAAAAATAACTTATTTCCTCATCAAAATCAGGGTGAATGACCACAGCGCATGTTTCTGTCCATTCTTTGTCTTTCAGACCCAGCCTGCTGCTAGCTGTGGGCAGTGTCCTCACCTTCATGTGGCAAATGGTCTGTCCCTTCAGAGGGGAAACCCCAAAGGCCAGCTGCTCAACCACGAATGGGCTGGGGGACCAGCAAGCCCACCAAGAACTCAGGTCCAAGCTGCTTTCTCAAATCCAGGTTTTCCAAATATAAAACTAACGTTTTCATCTCTATTTAACCCTCATGAATATGTTTTTCAATTGATTATAAACTTGAAAGGAGAATGATTATTACTCCAAATAACACCCAACATAGAAAAGTTAGCGAATTATTAATTTGCCTGCAAACAGTTTCTAAAAATATGAGATCATAAAGCTTTTTAAAGATGCTTAAAAGGAGTCCTGGATGGTGTGGCTCAGTGGGTTGAGTGTCATCCCATGCACCAAAAGGTCGCCAGTTCAATTCCCAGTCAGGGCACATACCCAGGTTGCAGTCTCCAACCCCAGTAGGGGGCATGAAGGAGCAGCCAATTGATGATGTTTCTCTCTCTCTCTCTTTCTCTCTCTCTCTCTCAAATCAATAAAAACATATTTTTTAAAATGAAATAAAAATGCATTTAAAAAAAGATGCTTAAAAGGAATTGCAGGTGGCACTCGGCTCACAACAGGAGTAGCACCGATAAACAATGCTTCTACAACGAAAAACAAGAAAGAAATTAACATAGAAAGAAAAAACTACATATCTTTTCTTAAGTAAAAATGCTGGGGTAGTTGAGAGATTAGGAAAGCCAGAACTTATAAAACAGAACACCAGAATTTCACTATCCCCTATCTACTAACTTTTGCCTTCCAGCAACTGAAAATCTCCACCCCTTTTCTATTAATTCCATTATGACAGATTCTCATTTTTGCTCCAGTCTTAATAAATTTCAAGAATTAGTGTTAGCACTTCCTTATGTGGTAGGTAGATCTAGCATGACCCCCAGAGAGCTCCATCTCCTACTATTCTTGTCATTATATAGCCCTCTCCCTTTGAAAGTGCACTGGACCCAGTGACTTGCTCATAAGAGGGATGGGATGGGATGTCACTCCCAAGATTAGGTCCAAAAAGACTGTGACTCTTAGCATGCTCACTCTGATGAAGTCAGCTGTCATATTCTGAGAGGTAGGTTGGAGAGGCCCACGTGGCAAGGAATTGAGGCTGATGACTAACCATCCACTACAAAGGAACTGAAGTCCTGAACCCAACAGTCCGTGAAGAACTGAATTCTGCAAATAACAACAAGAGTGATCTTGGAAGCAAATCCTTCCCAGCTGAGCCTTGAGATAACCCAGTCAATGCCCTGACTGCAGTCCGTGAGAGGCTCTGAGCAAAGCACCCAGCTATGCCACACCTGGACTCAGGGCCCACAGAACCGTGAGATAATAAATACCATGGTAAGTCACTAAATTTGAGGGTTGTTACTCAGTAATGAGTAACTGATACCATATTTTTGAATCTTTGATTGTATTGTTCACCTCCTAAAAAAAGAGTCATTAATTGGTTCTTATTAATGTGTTATATGCCAAATTCTATTAAACAGTATTTGATATAACTTATCTATCTCATGGTCAAAGTAATTGTTGAGTATCTACCAAGTACAAGAACCATACTGGGCACTCCCACTGCTGGCATTTTTCTTTTTTTTCAATCCTCACCCGAGGATATGTTTATTGATTTTAGAAAGAGGGGAAGGGAGGGAGAGAGAGAGAAACATTGATGTGAGAAACCTCGATTGGTTGCCTCCCGCACGTGCCCCAATCGGGGATCGAACCACAACATTTTTGGTGTGTGGGACGACACTCCAACAGCCCGAGTCACCCAGCCAGGGCACTGCTGGCATTTTTCTTGTTTCATAAAGAGCCTCACCAGTAAGCCTTTTTTATCTTCTCTTTTCTTTCCCCCTTTGCTTTATGTTTTAGCTGTTAATGTTTCAGGAAGCAACAGCAGTCCCACTAGTGCCAGCCAAATTACCGAACAAAATAAAGACGGATGGAACTCTACGAAATGCCCATCTGAATGCATGTAAATTAACTACTTTCTGAGATAATTAAAAGCCAATTCTGCATAAGTCTCAGCACCCCACGGGCCAGCTGGTACCTGCTTTGACTGATGAAGTCATTGAGCACCGTCTTCATTTTCTCCTCTGGTGCCTCCTCTGAAATCTTGATCAATTCTTTCACTTCTTCTATACTTTCTTCCTGAAAACAAACCACAGACGTGGAGAGGGGAGAGGTGGGAATGAGACATTGTACTGAAGATACTGATTATAACACCCCCGAAAGAATATTTACCTAGTTTTTGTTTTAGAAATGAAGGAAGATTTCCCCAATTTCTTGTGCCTGAACCGGGAGAGGTGTGTGCTGACTCGGCACCTTCCTTTTCTTAACTGGATTTGGGCCTAATCTTGTAGGAAACTCTGCACAGTGTTAGGGACCTAGGCTTTTACATTCATTGAGGCCCGGGTCTATCAATCTTGTGAGAAGGCTATCAATTCCCTGCTCTTTGAAGGTTAGGAAAACAGCCTACCTTAGGTCCTGCACCAGTAAGAAGCAGAGCAGGGATCTGAATTCAGATAGTTTGATTTACAGTCCAGGGATTTTGTAAAATGTATTCGCATTCCCCTGGGTCCATGTGGTAGAAGGAGCCATGAGTCCTCCAAATGCAACAACCTCAACTTACTTGCATTTAAACTGAGGTCAGGACCTTCTACTGGGTGGATTTTAAAAAGTTCCTTTTACCTCCAGCTTCCCAATGTTCAAATCCGTCACCTGTCAGCCACCTACCAGCAGGTCTGCCATTTTCTCCAGCATGTTGGACCAGTACAGCCTGAAAGTCTGGTCTCCCCAGGAGCTGATGAAGTAGACACAAGGCTTCTTGGCCTCAAACGGCAAGTAGTTGTAATTTCTGTGAAAACACATTGGGCCTGGACATTAGCTGGCAATCAGTGTTTTCCAGGCAATTCCAGTTACACGTTCATGTTTCATATGTTCTATGTGGGGTGGGTGAGGGGTGGTGACAAACTATCAAACTACTATTAATTTCACCCTTAGACTATACTTGGGGACTCATGAACAATAAACAATGAATAGTTATGTGGCTACAATGGAGAGGTACTAACAGCTACTGCTATCAGACCCAGGGAAAACTTAGAAATGATCACCAGAGGGCAAGATTTACAGGCAAGCCTTCTACGGAGAGGAAGGTTTTAAACTGAGAGAGGAAAGAAGGGGGAAAACAAACATTTTTCTTTTAATGTCTATATGGGAAGCCCTGTGTAAGGGTCACTGGAGGTAATAGATGTAAATGTGTTTCATAAACTGAAACTACTAGAGAAATGTAAGAGGGTAATATTATTAATGAGGTTGAAGGCATATGCCTCAAACTAAACATCAGTATTTCATCCATCTATCCATCCACCCACCCATCCACACATCCATGTATCCATCCATCCATCTAATATTTATTGTTACCAGGCATTAGTGCTAGTAACGTAGGTGACTCATTTGGTTAAGAAGTGACGAGAGGGATGTCGAGGTAGCTAGAAGGGGAAATGTAGAGCCAAAGAGAATTTTGAGGGTGACAGTTGGGTAGGCTTAAATGCTGCTGAGAAAAAGACAGTTATCAGGATGAGCTTGAAGATAGGAAAGAAGGAAATAATTTATAAATTTCAGTTCCTGAGTAGGAAAGGGATGGGAATGAAGGCAGGTGTGAGGTGAGAGAGGTTGTAGCAAAAACTTGAAGTTCCCTGCCTCATGACAGCTATATTTTTAACTAGGTTTCCCCACTCAAGCCCCATGTAATTTTCCCACAAACACTCAGGTCTGTGTAAAAAGAAATGTGGAAGGAAGGCCAAAGCAAATTTCTTGGAATGAGCATCATGGGAAAGGCAGATGGCCCTGATAAATGTAGACAGTGTTTGGAGTCACTCATTTATAAGACAGAGAGGAGAGAGAGAGAGAGAGAGAGAGAGAGAGAGAGAGAGAGAGAGGAAGGGAGAGAGAGAGAGAGAGAGAGAAGGGGAGAGGGGAAGCTTTGTTTCCATTCCAAAAAGCTAATGAGAACTTTAGCCTGGAGGAATGCATGATAGTTCTTTAAAGCTCTCCAACCCAGATTTCTTTTGGAGATCATGCCCCATGATCTGTTCTGCAGAAAATAAGCCAGCAGGTATCCATTCAGAAGAGAAGCCAAATAGATTCTTGGCAGAAACTCAGATTGTTATTACAGCAAGGAAAAAAAAAGAAAAAGAAAGAAAAGAGGTTAGAACCAAACTGCTCTTTTATCTCTTTTTAAAATGATTACACTGAGAATCCTGCCACTGAATAAATTCCCTCTCAATGTTTGTGCTTTGTTCCAAGGTTTCTTTGGTTTGGATTATTTTGTGCTAATGATGTTTAAGGCCTTTGTGCTTTGGTTCCCAGGGTCCTCCTGGTCTTACTGGGTCTGCATGGACCAGGATGCTATGGTTCCTCAGGTAAATTACAGTGCAGATGGAGGGCAGCAGATGGGACGACATCACATTGCCAGTGGAAAGAGAAGACTGCCAGTTTGAATGGCTGCCCTGACACAGGACCAGCCTTATGACTTTGGGCAAGGGTAGGCCTGGAATCCTGAAAATCAAGTGACCCATCATTAGGTGTCTTGTGCTCCGATCTCATTCCTGAGCTCCAGACCAAAACACAAATTACATGTGAATGCATGTGCTTTGCGAAAAGGGAAAGCCTAGAACAAGCACACGGTGGCATTTTAAGTGCCCTGCTAAACCACCCTTTACAAGGTGGTATTTTATTGGAGGCAATAGACAAATAAATTGTGAGTGTGTGTGTGTGTGTGTGCACATGTGTGTGCACATATGTGTAGGGGTCTCTTATAGATATAGGATCTTTTAGTTCAGCTGCTGCCACTCTAGCTTGCCACTATGTGGACAGAACTTCCACGTAGTGACCGAGAAATATACAGAAAGCCCCAAGACACCAGCATGACTTATTTTGGTCTCCTCGAGCCAGCTGGCCAGCACTAATATGAGGTCCAGCCAAGGGTGCCTTGAGACCTCTTATCTCCTCTCTAGCCCTTCCCATACTATATTCCCTGACACTGTCACCAATAGTCACCAATAGGCTAGTCCAAAAAAGTGGAAGATGTTCTTGCTGCCTGGTTCCAGTGAAAGGATGCAGAATACTTCTGGTTAGTCTCAGAGAAGAGCTTCAGATCCCGCTATAGGATCCACTCATTGATGTCCTCGGTTTTAAAAATGCAGAGAAGCAATTAAAGAGCTGGGAAATTTGGAGGGTTTTTGGTGTGTGTAAAGGAGGATTGACAGCCAAGTATGGCTGCCAGGGAACCAAAAAAGGGCCCCAAAAAGGCCCCCATGGGAGGGGGAGGGTGGTCCATGAGAAGGGGGAAGGTGGTCCATGGGAGGGAGAAAGCGGTCCATGGGAGGGGGAAGGTGGTACATGAGACGGACAGGATTTAGAAAACACAGGGCTTGCTCACAAATGAGGGCAACAACTAAGATTATTTTCACTTACTCCTTCCTACTTTGTCCCACTCTCTCTCCATCCTTAAGCCCCTTTTGATCCTTTAGATGTCACCTTTGCTGTGGCCTTTCCAACTCTTCACCTCCTCCCCAAGCAGAGTAGTCACCCACCCTCCTCTCTCTGCTTCCATAGTACCTTGTGCCCAACTCAGTTAGAGTAACTCCTTAACTCATTCAGAAACAGTTATGAGCACCTACTATGGGTCAGGCTCAGAGATGAGCAGCTACACAGGGGGCTAGCGCAGGTCCTGCCCTCAGAGTGCTCACAGTCCAACGGGTCACAGACAAGTGAACACATCTTCACACAGTGTCCTCAGCTCCGTGGAGGTGAGTGCAAAGTCCAAACCAGACTTGGGATTCAGGAAAGGGAGCTTGGTCTTCATCTTGAAGGTTAATGGGAGCCAGCAGGTCTGAGGAGGGGATTTGTTGCCTGGCAAAGGGACGAGCTTGTTTAGAAGAACCAGAAGCAGCAGTTTGGGAAACCGCCAGGGCCATTGTATGGCTGGAGGAAACGAGGTTTGGGGAGTGACTGAAGATGATGTTAGACAAGTAACTGGGGGTCGAATAACCAAGTTTCAGCTTCTGAAATTTATCCTGAAAGCCATTGGCTGCCAACGGATGATGTCAATTAGGGGAGTCACTGGTTCAGGTAGATAGTTTGGTAAATTTCTTAAAGAACATCCAGGCCAAGAAGAAGGTGTTTAAAATAATCCAGATGAAGATGCCAACTTCCAGAATTAAAGAAATGGCAACAGATATGAGAAATACTTAAGAGCCAGGATCGACCAGACTTCATCGCTGACAATGGATGTGGGTAGAAAGGACAAAGGGAACAACTGACAAATTTGTGGCTGAAAGGACTCGGAGGGCAGGAGGACCAGCCTACCAGGTGGGAAAGATAGGAAGAGAGCAGCGTTCTCTGTGCAGGCGATGAGCCTGCTGAATAATTTATGGGACACCCAGTGGAGGCGTTTGGATCTGCTGCTCAGGAAAGAAGGTGTCTGGGGAATTGTGAGTCCTCGCTTCCCAACAGTGGTCAGGAGGCCGTGGGTCAGAGCCCAGGGAGAGTCTACACGGAGCAGAGCAGAGAGTGGAGAGCGCTGGTGATGTGGTTCCAGTCTCCTCGCATGTAATGAGAAGAGCAACGTTCTCTTGTGAGAATCCCTGCGGATCATGACGCCCTGACGCACAGAACAAGGCTCAGAGCACAGAGGACTCTCACAAAGTGTGGTCTTCCCTTATTCTCAGATCACTTGGTTAGTGCTTGGACCATTTTCTTAAGATAGAATTTTATAATTTTACTTCTCTTTGCATGTTGTAATTTTACATGGATTCGAGATCAGTGAGGGTACATGTAGGTGCCCCGGCTGTTTCCTGAAATAGTCTTTTGTGGTGGCTAACAATTGTTTTCTGAGTTCTTCAGTTGGACTGTGGCAATAAAATAAGAAAAGATGTATTCAATAATGCCACTAAATTGAGTTTACATAACAGCACAGAACTCAGATGAATATAATAACTGTTAATAGGGTTTGGATTGAATTTTTAAACTCTGACCTTCCTACCTTGTTATGCATCAAAGTTACAGAATAAAAGGAGCTTCAGATCTGATCATAATAATCATCATCATTGCTCTACCCTTAAATGAAGTACCTGGATGTGTCATTTGGAGAGTTGTTGACATGTAACTAAGGATTCAGTAGAGTGGCACTTACCATGTTACCCCGATTTATGCTTGCTCCCATCACTGAGATTTTAAAAAATTGTTTCTGATTTTAGGGAAGGCCTGAACCTAACAGTCCCAGAAATTGGTCAGACTCCCATGGTCAGAAACTGTTGTTCTGCTGTATCTCCCACCTGTTCCCCTCTGTCACGAGTGGCTTCTCCGGGTGAGTGGTGGAGACCATAGGGATGGCAGCCTCCTGGGCAGTGTCCTTTTCCCCTCCTTGCAGCAGTGGAAGGGCGTCTTCAGCTGATTCAGCTGACTTCTTCTTACTCCCGTGATGGGACCCTCCATCAATCAAGTTCCCAAAATTACCTGCAGGGGCAGTAGCAAGGGGAGGGGGCCAGGAGTCAGCCAACAAGCAGAATCAGGCTGCTTGACATGCGAGATCCAAGTTCATGTCCTCCCCGGGCAGGGAAATAAGATCTCAGTATGAAGTGGGAAGAGCATAGTCAGACCGAAGAAATAAGATTGACAATGACAATGAGCCGTCATCCACATCCATCCTCATTTGTAAAAACTACTTAAGTTACAAATAAACTGGATTTCATCTCCTTTTCTTTCTTTGAAGCAGAGCTTCCCAAATGTGACTAAGACCTTCTCTGATGGAAAGTCCTTCCTTGGAATGGTTTCTCTGGATGTGTATCAGCCCAGAAGGATTGCTTGGAGTTATAATAACAGCACCTGCTACATGCATGGCACTTTGCCTGTGCTGACTCATTAAACCCTTTCGACAGCTCTAGGAGAAGTTATCATTATTCTTATTTTGCAGACGAAGAGACTGAGACCCAGAAAAACTAAGTGAACCAAGGGTAACAGAACCAGGGATAGTAATCCAAGTCTGTCTGAACCCAAGCTATACTCCTAATATATTTTTTGAAGTATGAAAAGAAGTCTATTCCTTATGTAGCAACACAATAGAGGACAAGGAATTATTCATTGTTTTCTGAGTGCTATCATTTGCATGTAAGGCCTTAATTCACTCACTCAAGAAATGGTTGCACCGCCCAAGTCATGTGCCAGGCACTGTGCTTGGCTGAACTTACCAATAGAAACTTCAAAGCTAATGGGTTTATCTCCAATCCTCCGGTCAATCATGGTAGCTTCAAAAAATGCTCCAAAGAGTAAAAATTCCTCATATTTTTCTGGTACAATCTATAGAAAGGAAAAATATATATGAAACAGACCTGGTTTCTTTTTTTTTTTTTTTTTTTTTTTT